TCTTCATACATACAACTTCGAATTCTCGGACTTGACTTATTAACACTATCGCTAGTTTCAAATCACATACTATAAAGAAATTTAATTGACGCTTTTTTAATTCACACATTTTCTTCCTTCTTATTTATTAATACGAGTTTTGTATAAGATAATAGTGTAAACTTAATATTCACTTTATTGTAATGACTGTTTGTACCAAAATAGAGAAAAAAACTTATTTGATTAATTTACTGATTTACGTACTTACGCTGGGTCTTCATTTTAATTTGATGTATTATTTTAATATAGATTTTGAAATGGTCACTTAAGAAGCATTTTAATTATAATATTCATTGATCTGGGCAAGATTTTCTTTCAGACGAAATATTGAACTATTGTATATACGATGAATTTACGGTCGGTTTCAATAACTTACTATATCCGTAACTGGAGATTTGACAGTATATCTGTCACTGTCTTTTACATTGTAAACAACAAAGACAGGTATACTTTAAATCTCCAGTTACGGATATAGTAAGTTATTGAAACCGGCAATTAGTCAATACGAAACACACGTTGCCAAATAGCATTCTACGTTAAGATTTGATCATAATTTAATATTAGACTTTACATTATCGGGATTGCGTTTTGTTGATATAACCTATTAAATATTTTATTATGAGAGACTGCACTGAGTGTGTGAGTGGACCATTATAACTTCTTGTTGGTGACATTAACTCTTTGAAAATGGAGTGAGACGCTGACGTGACATCCATTACGCGTGTCGTTTATTACTTGAACGGGCAACTTTGTTATGTCATACGGTCGCGCATCAGCAGTATCACGTTAATGGGTTTCAAAGTCACAGTGTCCTCTGCGTTTAAATGTAAAAATATTTTATCGTGAAATTTGGTTTGGTGCGAACATACTTCTGTTTAATAAAACAATTCCAGAAATATAAATACTTGAACTGACATATATTTAGAAATAATAATATCAGCTTTGTCTAGGGTCTGGTTGGTTAAATTGTTTGTGTTTAATATTGTTAATAATCCAAATAGGTATACGTATGTTTATAATACCGTATTAAAGATTTTAAATAATACCTATACATTAATATCAAAATAATTATAAGAGTAGGTACACTTTTAGGTAAAATACTAAGGCGCAAAAGGTCTATCATATGAAGTAGGTAGGTCATCAAATCCCCTTTGTGTGATCATATATGTCCTATTATGTCATTTTAAGATACTAACACTTAATTAAGGTAAATGATCACCAAAAATGTAAGCCCTATACCTAATGATATGAGTAACTTTGGCTATTCACCTTTACAATCTTTAGTAAGACAACAATAGATATAAATAAGCAAAGAATAAGTTCATGTCATGGTTCATTGTGCTTTTGTTAGCAGATTGAAATTAAATAGCCTCTCTTACATTTACTTAAGCTTTCCAAAGCAAAATGTCCTTTTCATTATTGTACGCGATTCTATGGCAGGTGACTAACTTGTTTTTATTAAATATTCTAAAAAAATAACTTTAGCGCCGCATAAAGTGACAGAGTCTAATTGAATAATCGCCCATGACTTTGATCAGTATGTACATATGTACATCACAAATACGTTAAAATTCGTGCCACACGGTATTTATCAACTTATAATAAAGCTTTAAGCTAATGACACATCCGTATGAACTCAGGATTTTTAAACCTAGTTCATAGCATCATTTTTGTACGATAAAAGTATGGATCTATTTATCATAATTATATTTTTTTTTTAATCGTTCGTGTGGATTTGGAGCTTATTTAAAATAAACAAACAAATTGATTTGATCGTTTGAAACATTGTTTGAAACAAATGAATTTTTCCTATTTTCTACAATATTTTCCCAATTCTCGCATTATTTTTATAAGTATATGTAAACGGCTATAATAAAATAAAAAACGTATAAGCTTGTTTTGTTAATGTTAAAAATATGATACTAAATAAAATGAACTTGTATTAAAAGTTTATTACCCCTACAATCCCTTGGGAATCCAATCGGAGCTTTCGCGATTTGGGCTTTCGCAGTTGAAATTTGTCAAAGCTTTGTATACTAACGCTTCTGGTAAATATTATCTTATTATATTACCTTTTAACTTTTCTACTTATTACACTTTGAAGAAATATTTTAACTCAACAAATTTGAATGAAATTGGAATATAAAAAATTTTATATTCATATAATTAATTTATTAATTAATTTTATATTCATATATATTCATATTTTTACATATAAATTTAATTGAAATTAAATTATTAGAAACATTTACAGACAATTTTAGGTTCATTCGATTGAGATGACATTATTAGGGTTAATATAAGCTATTCCCAACTCCATTGAAATTGGTGGCTTGGTTTGCCAGATGACGTACTTAAATCTAGTCGAAAGCGATTTTTTTTCAATTGGGCATGTAGGTAGTTGTTTATCGGCATATTTTTAACCAAGCTATTCGAAAAATAATGCAATTTAGATTTTACTTTTGGCAAAATTAGGTATGTATTTTCACGTAAACTTATACCAAATTTACATCAAGAAATTAGTTTTTAATTTCACTAGCACCTCCACGTGTAGATGCACGTCCAATTTCACAATGTTTCCATTACTTTTATGACATTAATATTAAGTTTATTGCATTCGGGTAGTTTCGTTGCATGCGCATATTTATGTCACACAAACAATTTCATTCACTAGAAAGCCATAAAGACCAAGACATGGAGACATATTTACGACCTTTAAATGTGTTTTCTTCTGGGATAATCTCTTTTTAATTATATTGTGTACCTAACTATAACATGTTTTCTACCAGCGGCTTCTCCCGCGTGGTTCTGTATTTATCAGGGTTAGCAAAAATCGATATTTACAATAAACAGTAAAATATCCGATATTTGATACTTATCCGATATACATCGGATATATATCATGCATATGAAAAACTGTGTTTTTTAAGCTTTATTTATAATTCGATTCTTTTCGAATTTACTAGTAAGGTTGCTATTTCGGGCCAAAGTTGCCGTGTTGCTTAATTTTCTAGCTGAGACTCGATACTCAATACTCAAACTAACAACAAATATTATAAATATCAATAGTGTTAATGTTATAGTGTTATATTTATCGGCGAACTCTGTGACTCTACATATAAACCTTCCTCTTGAATGACCTTGTATATTGATTAAAGGCGCATTGATATCCGTTGTGTGGTAAAAGATCTCAGCGTACAGACAGCAGGAAGCGACTTTGTATACTATATATATAGATATCATATGTATTACACCATTTTGAATCGTAAAATAAAGCTTTGATGCTTACAAAGCTATTGTTCAGAGAAACTATTGATTTCACGTAATGACGGAATAGTTTCACATGTGCTGAAACTACTGAGATTAGTGATGGCCTTGTCTTTTTAGTCTTAAATGAAAAATGCTTACAAAATCTACCAGCCCCAGGTACCCCGAGATAGGACTCGAACCCAAAACGTTTTGCAATTCAGCCTATCTTTGTTCTGTCTATTTTATTCTTATCTCTATCCATATTCTATTCTATTTTAGCTCTAGCCATTGAGCTACCCGATTTTTTCGAGTACGTGTTACTTTTCGAAACTTAAAAAAATGATAAATTATTGTCATGAAACTTTTTTTTTACATTAATGACACTATAATTTCGTACCCGTTGACGTACATTAATAATTTTAAAATCAAATGTAACTCCGTTGCATTATCATAAAAAGGCTTTAATGACTTTTTCTATAATTCACGGTTTTGGTAAAAACGTTCAGGTGTAAATGTAACGGGCTTAAGTAGCTCTCTCGATGGAAGTCAACAATTTAATGAAAAAACTAAAATATGCTGGATGTAAGCTAGAAATATATAGAAGGTGATGGCTGTATGATGTTGTCTGAAATATATTTTTTTGTAATATTGTTTAGTATACAAAGAGCGTATAAGTTTGGTCCGTAGGGTTGCCAACTATATTAAAAAAATCATGAAATGTTATAATATTTGATAATAATTAGAACAAATTTTTCATCTTTTTCTAAAAGTTTAAATATTTGTAAAAATATTTCTTTCGGCTGTTTGGGTGGATTGCCTGAAGATTGATGATAATACGCTCTGTAGTAGCGAAAAAGCAGCAAGTACTTGAAAGATTCATAGGTCCTGTTAGGTCCTGGGTCAGGTCCACGCTCAGTGGTTAGAGCAGTGCAGGATTGCGAAAGGTCATGGGTTCGCATCCCATCTCAGGGTGCCAGGGACCAAGAGGATTTTTTAAGCACTATTCATCATGTATTTTTACCTCTGACCAAATTTAATACAAGTTTCATGCATAAGAATCGCCTTTGAAGACGGTTATAGAACTCAACTCGTGTGATATTTTAAACGCATCTAGTCAACAACAAGTCCACGTCTACAAAGTGCATCCAATATTGGTTACTGTTATACAAACTAATTTTTCAAATTATAAAGTAATATAATAGGAAAATAATATATTGTATATAAACCAAATAAAAATTAGTGTTTATTGTATGAATAACGATGATTGGTTATTTTTCATCAATGTCTCATTTAACGAGAAATTTATTATTATTTAAATTTCTTATAATATTATGTACCTCGGTCAAAGTTGTCAACAAAATTTTGACTACACCAAGAATTTTTATTTTTTAGCGTTAAAAATGAAGAAGCGCGTGCGTTATGTGACATCTCGTTCGTATACTAAACTTCGACCGCGTTTGACAAACGTTCTATCTAAATAATGAACGGGTTTAATATAATCTATTTATTTGTGCAAATTTGAACTTTTACTTTACGTACGTAAATTAACAGAATTATCTTCTAAAAATATAGTTCTTTCAGAAGTGTACACACTATTACAAATCCTTCAGGACTTTTCATTACGAATTAATTAAAAATCCTGTTTGAAAGTTAAGGTAGTTAAGTCACGTTCAAAGTATATTGCAGAGAGGAAATTAGAAGATTATCTATTTAGCTAATTATATTTATTATATATTAAACACACTGACATGTTCAACAATTTATGTATTCATACATAATTCGTACAAGTAAGTCGTAACATACTGTTACATAATATTAAGCAAGTATAACCTACACAGGTATAGACAGTGGTGCTTCCATTTTGATACAATTTCATCATAAATTAATGATTTACTATGTTCTTCGTTATACACAATCATTAGCACGAGAATTATTATTCAATAAATAATAGTAAAACGGGCGATCTTATAGCTAATAAATATTTCTTCCAGGTAACCATGTTAGACTGGAGTATTAGAAATGGTCAAAAAATGGTGCCCCATTATATAATAATATAAATACTAACTAATTAAAAAATTCAATGCAACTTACATAGTTACGAAGATATTACAAAAGTATTACTTTAATACATGCAAGAAAGAAGGAATAACTGTGTTCAATTACATCATGTTATCAAATAATAAATACGTAAATAATATATTTTTTTATAAACATGTATTTAAATGCGAAAATGGATCAGTGGCATTTTGTGTTGGTGAATTTGGTCGAGTGCCAATAAAATCAGTATTATAGCTACACAAACGAACACGTCAGCTGTATATATATATAGTACGTTATTTATATTCAGTCTGGAAGTTACAACAATATACTAATCTTTCAGGAGTAGTGACAGTATAATAGCAAGACATTAGCGGTTGATTAAAAGAAAACAGACAGTTTAAATTATGAATTACTATCACGAATTTTTAATTCGAATGCTATGAATATTAATTGGAAACACAAAAGCTTCCTATTTGCGGGCACTGTTTATATTTTATGTTTCTGGTATAGCGGTTTTATTGATCTAATCTCCTTACATCTTTGAAGACGGTCTGTCCTTGGTAAAAAATATATTTAACCGTTGATATTGCGTTTGTAGCATAAAATTTTCACTAACAAAGCACCGGGAACGTGTTCAAGTGGAAAGCTGGTGTGCTTAAATGATCATTTCAAACTTGCACAGACTGAAAAGCTTATGTAACTTATGCGGGCCGCCCGAGGCTCATTTGCCAAATGGACACTTTAGTATGGTATATCGATTAAGTCACACTTTCAGCATAGTTTTGATAATAAATACAATATCAGACTTGACGGAAATTCTACCACACGTTTTATATAGTTAAATAATTTACTAAAACTAAACATTAAATGACATTGTCTTATTCGGGAACAAATTATATTATTTATTGCATTCTTAACAATACAATTTGATTGTCATACGAATTCAACATATAACATTTTACATTTCCAATCTAAAATTAGTGATGAAACTTAAACAGATACGACTTGTCGACATTCAATATTACCTTGCGATGTATTTCGGCATTGATGACGCAATTGAATTCACTCTACAACGCTCCACAGTGTTGAATTCGTCTTTTAAATTTGCTGTAGATCTCAGATGATATGTTATAAATATAGCGAAGTTAAATTTTTGAATGTTGCCCGACCTTGTTGATAGAGACGAATTCAAGCTGTGAGAGTAAAAGAACAAGCTTAATAATAATGATTCGAATTTCTTCATAAGGTTATAGGGGTTGTTCCTACCGTCTACAATATGATAGTAAGGAATGACATAGTTGAGAGTGGAAGGTGAAATATTTAAAAAGTCTAAAGAAACCTGTTCATATGTAGTGTAGAGGTTAAATTTTATAAAGAAACATATCAGTACCTTTATGATTATTACTAAAGTTATAGAGTATAAGACGGTAGGTACAAGATACGACTGTCTTTATTTAATCGGTATAAAGGCCCTCGTAGAGCGAGCGGGGCAAGTGCTCGGCTAGAAGCGACTTGAGCTTTTCTCTGGGAGACACAGGTGTGTAGCGTGACAGCGGGAAAGTGCGCGTCACGCCGTCACTCAAAGATCGAGTTACCGCTGTTAAGTCTGCATCCTAGAAAAATAATATTAAAATTTATTCTCATAGCAACAAGCAAAAATAAATTGTGTGTTATATGAAAATATATCAACGGACTACAAAAAATCTTACTTATCTATTCATCGCATGATTTTCTGCTATTCTGTTATAAAAACAGCCTAGAACTCAACAACGAGTGTAGTGCTGTCACTACATAGAGGGTTCAATCATATAAAATTTACTTGAAAAGGGAAAAAAGATTTAATTTCATTGAAGCCGTATGTGTGACAGAGCTGAGTTCGTGGTTGTTTTTTAAAAGAATAGCATAGCTGTGTAGATTGAAAGTCCGAAAACAAATAGACATGATGCCATTGATATAAGCTGTTAGAAAAAGCAGGCCATCAATAACGTGGTTATTTCTATAGTTATCGAATTCATAGTATTTTTGGATTCAATATCCTATAGTGTTCCTATATTGTATCCTAGTTAATTGTGTTAGAAAGTTTGCTAAAGACGTATTCACATGAGTATTTACATAAAATGTGTAAATACCTAGTTAGTTACTTGCAAACATCATTAGGTAGTTTTGTCCGCAAAACCCCTGGTTTAGATTTGTGATACCCTGGGGCGTGGAAAATATTTGGCCCTAATGTAATTTGAAATTTAATGTTTGTAAGTATAAATAATTTTGTAACGCATAAAATTAGTTGTTCTTTGTGTTCTGTGACAAAATTATTAAGGATTGTAATGAAAAATCAAATACAATATCGTCTGTATACTCATAAAACGTATGCAAAACCAACGCAGACGCTTTTATAACTTTGAAGTACTAATGAAAGATATACCTATACCCATTTATTCTCTCACCGGAAAATACAGATCTAAATCTGATAAAAATCAAAGGCAAATGTTTGTTTACAGATGAGCAGATGCGAATTCTTTAAATGTTTATCTATAGTGTAACTACACTATAGGTAGGTCTCTGTGTGTTTTTATATTCTAACGGATAAGTTACGGCTAAAGATATATGTATTTCAATAGATCTTTTTTTCTCTTTGCAATGCAATTTATATACGATTACCGTAAAAAGGAGTGTTTTTGTGTTTGAGGTTGATGTACTTTTTTAATGTACTATGTTTAACTTTAAAAATATCATCGGATATTTAATGTATAGGGTATCATTAGAAACGTTTTATCATCTGAGTGACACCGGCTATAAATTATAACAATTTTCAACATGGTGAATGTACAATTATAGTTTATTATGGCTAGGCTAAACAAATTTTCTCATTGCAAATGTTCCATAGAACGGTCTCCGACGTTACGTTTACTTTTAACGTTTTACGCGCATATCTAATATATTCTTCATGACCTTGATATAAGGTTTCAAATATCTAAATCCGGAAACGGATTTGTGAGATATCGTATTCTCAAATAGGCAACGTTAAAAAAATCAAACAATTAAGATTAAAAAAAATATTTTTACTGCAATATGGGTATTAAATTAAAGGGCTCAATAAAATGATTCCAAAAACTTATATCATTATCGTAATACTAATAAAAATAACAATGATAAAGTTTAAAAATATGAACTTTGGTCGTTTAGATGTTCTTCTTTAAATTTAAATTTTATTTTCCTTTCGGTTAGACAAATTACCAGGTCGGTTCACTTTGGTCCACTTATACCCTCTTCTGAACCAACCTGGTAACTTGTTTAACTAAAAGGACATAAATGAAATAATAATTTAAATAAAAACACCAAAGCCCCTGCGCGAAAAACGACTAATTGAAAAGGCTGGAACAAGATACAAAATTTATGCAACATTATACATGAACTGCATAATAAGTCAAATCATTCTTCAGTTAGTTGTTTTTCAAGCAAGTGGGTGTTTTGTTTTTTTTATTTATTTTCTATAAATTATAATTATTTAATTTATAAATTATTAACTATCAAGTTATGATTATTTCAAATTCGATGCGAGAAAATTGACATCTTTCATTTACTTTTGTAGCAAAAAACGAACCTAAATTATTGAAAATAAGAAAACAACATGATATTTTTAATGGTTTTCTTGTTAGAAAATAATCACAAAGTTATGTACCCTTTTTGTTGTGTAAATAATTATATGTGAGTTTGAGGCGAGGCAACAATTTTACAATAATCATAATGGTTTGCAAGTAGTTAATTAAAAATAGTCTTTTATCTTTACGGCGAGCAATACGATCCAGTACGACTCGGTGAGTTATGGGCTCATCTACATACTATGTGATTAATTATATCCATAGTATAGGTCTGTGCCTCAGTAGTGGCACATTTAAATAACTCAACATTAACTTGGTGTGTAGGTTTATAATCATTTGTAGCCAATTCGGTTGGTGTCACTTTTTAATCAATAAACAAAACAATTCACAAACGCTTCCGATGCGTTAACATGTTTGTACTCTTTTGTGTACAATTTATGAAATTAAAAACGTTCTACAACTCACAGTATTTAACTTTGATTATATAAGTAATCAAAGAACATACTCAATATGTAAATTAATGAATCAATTCATTAAAATTTAATGTCGAATTTGGATATAAAATAACTATCTATTATAGAAAGCCCTAAGGTAAGATGTGATTGTTCTTACAAGTTTTTGTTAAAAGTAATAAAGTTCTGTAGCGTTATTAAACAGGCAGTCTTTTGTTACTAAAAGATTTTTACTACAACATATATATATATATATATATATATATATATATATATATATATATATATATATATATATATATATATATATATATATATATATATATATATATATATATATATTTATCTTTATAATGAGACTTCTCCGAAAAGGAATAATGGAAAAATTTTAATGATTTATGCTATTTAACTTTCAATTTGGTTTAAAAGCAGATGAAAATGTAACGTTTATTTTTAGATAATAATGAAGGCTCATTGTCGAGGCCTGCTCAGTTCGTTGAAGCATGTTCGTTTTGTTATAATTAAGTTTTAGAACAAAAAGTGGGTGCCGGCTTTATTAATTAACACATTTAATATTATGAATAGGGTGTCTGTTAATTGAATAACCTAGGGAAATTAAGCATCGTCACGTCACGCGTTCATTACTCACAGCGCTTTTTGTGTATTTCTCGAGACTGCGGAGTGCTTGTTCAAAGTAGTCTTCACCATAGGCGCCTTTTTGTTCATCACTTAATCTCTTCCACATGTCACGAGCTTGTTCCAGGAGTTTCTCCTCAGAAAGCCAAGCACTGCCTGTTGTGTATTCACCAGCTGCTACTATCACCTGACAATAGATATTCAGGTTTGGCTTCACTCTATACGCTGCTGCTGTTTTTATCTCGCTTTACTTTAAATTTTTAGTTATTTAAATTATTGTGTATAGTCAAAGATACACATAAACTGTGTGGTGTAATTTTGATCCAACTGTGCAATCCAAATATAATAAACTAGCTTTTGTCCGCGACTTCGTCCTGCGTAGTATCGTTACTATGTACGATATATTTCTAAAAACGCTAAAACAAACATTATTCATACCTGAATATAAAGTTTCATGATTTTATCTTTGAAAATGACGAACTTCCATACAAACTTTAAATCCCTATTTCAACCATTTTCATAAATTAAGTCTTAAATGAAACTGTAAAGCATCCGAAACGTCATGAAATGCGCTATACCTGTTCAAAATAGTTTTTTTTTTTATTTTATCACGTTCAATTAAAATAACACGTGAACCGGTACTGATATTGGTATTTGGATAAAGTTATGTCCTCCAGAAGGCTTTATGTAAATATGCACACTCATAAATAAATATAAAGTGGACAGTAGGTACTCACGAAGGACAAAATGTCAAAAGCTAGGATTTCAAACAAAAGTAATTACATACTATTTTACATGTGGTAACAGATGCAAATTAAGGTCGTTATTCACTGCCTCCAGTAAAGGCTGAAAGTTATTACTTTACTTAAAAGTAGGTATTATTCATATCTACTAGTAACATTTAATTTCATTTTATTTTCGAACAGAATAACAATTAAAAATGAATTACTGTAATGGAATCTGTGTACGGTTTGTTGTTATAAAATTAACATATTCTACTAAGTTCAGGCGGATGATGGTATGAGCTTATTATTTATTCAGTAGACTATCACAACTGTAAAGCCGGTTTACCAACATGCCTAAAGCCCTGTCTTATGGGCTCATAATTAAAGAAAACCGGAATACCTGCTATAGATTATTTTTTATTGCATTTAAAATACCTAATGGCGGTTTGTAATCAATTCTGCGCATATTACTTTAACGCTTTAACGTGAGAAAATACTTAAAAATATCGATAGTTTCAGATGCTCTAGATGTAATTTGGACCCATAATATATAAAAAAGGGGATGTTTGGGGTAACACGGAAAGTCAAATTCGATGCAACTTCATGTTCGATCGACTTCAGGACTATATTTTATTTATAAAAGGCTTTATGTGCTTTATGGCTCAATCTCCTTATTCGTTTTCATCCATGTGGAAGGCCTGAGCCCTGGCAGTATCGACATTAACAGGTTCGTGATGATGATGATGATCAGTCAAATGAATATATTGTAGGGCCACTCACGACATCGACCCCCCTGGGTTTTAGCTCACGACGCAAACATGCTGCCATCGCGTCGAGGGCGGCGAGCGAGGCTGCGTGTACGCCGCGTACTGGCGCTGCCACATGCGTCAGAATTGATGACGTCAGCACGATACGCCCTCGAGCGCGTCTCACTAGCGGTAACATCACCTGCACTAGGCGGGCTGGGCCTATATGAAAATGCAAACGTATTGTAAAAGTCTATGCCATAAAGTACCAATAGTAAAACTGTTGGCTAATTAACTATATTCAAAATCTATCGCAATTATTTTCAAAATTATAGCTATTATGATAACCATTTATGGTATTAAGTAGCTATCGCTTTTGGAACGAATGATGATTTGAATGATCAAGATATATAATAAAATTTTTACAAAACTCTTCGTTGAAAGATTGTAGTTAGCGTCCATTTGACAGCCGTTTTATACTATTATAATTAACGTCAAATTAGCGGTATCGTTCATTGAATATCTTTTGAGAAAAGGCCATGTTCGCAATCGCTGTTAAAAGTCAAATAGATGTAGAGTGAAGCTCGTGAATAACTTTCAAATGTAACATTGAAAGGGATTACGATATATTTTAATATTATACGATTAAAATTGCCCTGTAAAATAGGGTGTGGAATACAAAGACGACTTTTAATAAAGTTTTAAAGAGAAATACAAAACCGAACCCTTTATAAAGTATGTTGGTGTTTACAACTTAGGAAGTAAAGGTTATTGTTCTCCTTAGTGTCCTAAATTACAAACTAATGATCAAACTTAATTCAATATGCAAAATAGATCCCAGCGGCTTGATGAGCATCATTGGAATTTCCTTTGCTTGCCTTGATGTTCTTTTTATATAAAAGTCAAAGAAATATATTTATTCTTGTATTTTTAGGGTTCCAATTTCGGGAATGCGTGGCGATATGGAGTTAAAATTAAAAGCATATACCCAGGATAGCGACGGCCAAACTCTGTAGCCATAATTATAGCAATAGTTTTTTTATTTTATTTATTTAAGGGTAACATCTCTCAAATATTGTACCTTATGACTAGAAAGATAGTCGGTTGTATCCCAACAAAGCGAACGCCAAACTCAATCGCCATAACTCTAGCTATAGTCATAAAAAACATTTTATTGGTTTTGTCAGTGAATAAGTTTAAGCAAAAGAAGCTATTTCGAAAAGAAAAATAATTCAAAATGTTTGGTTAAATATTAAATAATAAAAAAAATAATAATATAGCAGGCATTAAACTTGGTTCTGTGTAGTGCCATCTGTTGAAAGTTATAAGAATCATGCCCTAATCGGACGAAGGGTGTCGTAGAACCATAACTTTGCTATGCTACACACCGGTCGTAGCATCATGCACGCTACGACTTTGTAGCATCGTAGGGAAAGCTTACCTAAAAGGTTGACATCCATGGCTCGTTTGAAGACTGAAAAAGGAACCCATTCTAGTTCGCCGAGTGCACACCACGACTCGCAGTTGACAATGGCCCAGAGCCCTTGCGCGCCCTCTGGGAGATGGTCGACGATGTATAGAGACGCCGACAAAATCTGACGAGAAACATTATAAGATACTACTGAAACTTTCTGCTAGATGTATTTATACGAGTTAAATTTAAGGTAAATTCTAGCTAAAAGTTGATGTAGAAATTATTGTCTATTTTGTATCCTACTTTTGAAAATAATTATCTCAACTAGTCTGTTTTATGTTAAAGAGATATAGAGAGAAAATCATCATAAATTAGTGTCATGAAAAAATGCAAGGTAATTAAAGAATTACACTATAAATATTCGATATCGTGAATGTGTAGGCGGCTAGGACCTTGTGATTTTATATTTTCTCTTTCGTTAGCGGCCTGAATTAATTTAGCGTCATGTAAATGTTCAAGGTGATGTTTGCCAGGAGCGGTACAAGTACAATTAATCTAAAATAAAATTTAGAGAGAACTGGTATATCTAAATTTATTAAGACACAATACATCAAGGAAACGGGGGCAACTGATTTTGTTCGAAAAGTTTTTGCACAAGAGATTAATATTTTTGTAAAAAATATGTTATAATTGTTGGTCCGTTATTACAGAATTTAATTTGTAGTATTCTTTGATGAGAGATATGTGAGATTTTTTCATCAGAATTATAAGGTGCTTTCAAAAAACTGTTAATATTAAGGATTAAAGTATGAAATTGCTGATATGTACCGCATATTCAAACTCTTTTTAAAATTAATATTACTTGGATTTTAGAAATTTCATTCTGTAATATAATCCAATACCTATTATTATTTTACTCACTTGTGTTTCAGAAGTGACATCGAGTTGTAAGGTGTGAAGTCTTCCGGAGCAATCTTCTTTTAGCATGTCAGCGTCAATGTTGCCAGCTTTGGTTTGGAATCCAGCAAACACGTGATAACCCATGTCGTCTAGTCGCCGTGCGAGGGCATTGCCAAGTACATTGTCGCATCCTGTCACCAACACTGCTTTCCCCGCCGCTGTCACCTGTCATAATAGTATATTAATACACTACCTTTTGTCCGCGACTTCGCCTGCGTGATCTAGTGCGTAATGAGAAAATTCTATAATAACTTTCATCCCCTAATTTATCCCTTACGGTTCGAATTTCGTAACATCCCATTTTAATGAGCACCTACGTCCTAAAAAGAACCGTTGTCTGTCAGTCAGTCAGTCACTCAGTAACGAATTAATTTTGCAATGACGAAGTCGATTGTCAAAAGAAGGTCCGTGAAACAGAAGTTAAGTCCGTCCGTAAAGTTATAGTAAATAAAAACTGGCAAAGTACATATCCAGCGAAATGTATTACAGGGTTCCAATTTAATATTTGCCAGTGCCAGTTAATTATCAGTTTTACATGCATTGCCTATTTTATTTATAGACAACTTCACCTAAGTAATTTTTAATCGAATTAATTAATTTAATTTATTTGGGGGCGCTAAATACTTTAATTACACATTTGACTAAGATAGATTTTATGAAGAGCATGTTATATAAGTCTACACAGATAACAGTAAACTTGAAATAAAAGTTTGCATTAAATAGGCTCTGTTACTATTGAACCTATTTTAAAACTTCTTCATCTACGGGAAGCTCCATTATATGCGCGTGACATAGGCTATAATTGACGCAGGCGAAGTCACAGGAAAATAGCTATTATCGGGTTGGCACAAAAGTAATGAGACACTTGGTTTAAGTTTTTACTTTTTTATTATTATTACAATAAAAAGAGTTTAGTCAATGATGTAATTACCATTAGTATCTAAGACTTCTTGCCAACGATTCGGCAAAGTTTGAATGCCTTTTGCTCAGAACTCTGATGGCTGTACCTCGAAAAAGTTGTTCAACTCCGCCTCTATGTCAGAGAAATCATTAAATTGTTTACCCCGCAAATGCTGTTTCAGGGCTCTAAACAAATGATAGTCTGATGGGCCGAGGTCTGGGGAATAAGGTGGGTGGGGTATCGTCTCACAGCCCAAGTTCTCCAACTGCCGGCGAACCACAGATGCGACGTGAGGTCGAGCGTTATCGTGCAGTAAAACTACATTGACTCGTCTTCGTCGTTTTTTTTTTGATAGCGGCAGATAATTTGGTAAGCTGGTTTGAATATTTGTCAGCGTTTATAGTTTCATTGTGTAATAATAGCTCATAAAACAGTATGCCTTGCGCATCCCAGAAACAGCAAAGCAGAATTTTTCGGCGGTTCTTTTGACTCGGCTTCGGTTGCGTTGGTGGCGTTTCTTCTCGAGGCAGCCAAAAAGCACGACGTGTATCGTTCTCGTAATAAATCCATGATTCATTTCCAGTAACCAGATCTGACAAAAACTCTTTACGTCGGGGTCGCAGCAAAAGTGACTGACAGATAGCGACACGGACTGCACGACTGGCGTCTGTAAGGATGTGCGGTACCCACCGAGCCAAAACTTTTCGATAACCAAGCTCATGCAGATGGTGTTCCACGGCGTGGTGACTGCATTTAAGTGCTTCCGCTAATTCACGAGTGGTAGCATTCGGATTCAACTGCAGTTTGCGGCGCAAATCGTCATCATTCACTGCGGGTGGTCGCCCTGAGCGTGGCTGACTTTCAAGGCTCCTGTCTCCTGATTTAAAACGGTCAAACCATCGGGACACCGTCGCATGGCTTGTACTTCCAGCGCCTAATGCATTGTTGATATTGTCAGCCGCAGCCCGCGCACTGTGGCCTAACAAGTACTCGTATAAGTATAGTGTTCGAACTTGTCGCTCGTCCATTTTTCTTCAAACTGACTAAACAAATCGCGAGCGCGGCTTTATATACTCTACACCAGAAGTACCTAGAATGTTCTACAACATTCTAGAATATTATCGAAAAAATTGATTTTAAAAAGGAAATGTTATAGATTTTTCTAGTGTGTCTCATTACTTTTGTGCCAACCCAATATTATATATCATATTATTATTTAAATATAAAATAAAAAAAAAAATCTTTAATATGTAGTAATAAACCATAGTAAAATGTGTTTACTAATTATTCATATATGTATTTGGACAACCCAACACCGACATACACCCTACAATATTTGTACTTCATTGGTGTTGTCTTAATTATAGGCTGTATTTTAAATATGTAATTTAATTTAAAGTTGGAAGCAGAAGACTAACAATAATATTTTTCCTGTATACCTGAGTTATTATAATTAAAAATGTTATTTTGATGTTACTCAAAGTTACGATCATGAATATAGATGGAGTACGGGAAGTCGAGATGAGGAAAAGATAGATCTTAGTTTATGTGAGATATGATATGGCTAAGAGATTCGTGTTATCCCAAGAATATATTTTATCCGCAGATCCTGTTTAACGAAATATGAAATTTTCGTAACAATGAATTAATCAGTCCTTATCTGCAAATAAAAGTTAACTAATTACTCATTAATGTGTTGCGACGAAATTAAGTTTTTGTTGAAAATAGACGGCGACAGGTTGATTGATGTCCATTATAATAACTGCTGAGTGAATATTTTATCCGGGCAATTGTTGGTTACCCACCTATGCGTGACGCAGTGACGTTCGAGGTTAACTATTTCAGGGTTGCCTGATCGTTAATTCTTAATCTTCTAGTATTCTCACTGTTTAAAGTCACGCACCAATCAAAAACCATGTTTGCATAACCGGTAAATTGTTACTTTATGAGAATTTGGAGAGGATTCTGTCGTACCGATTATATTTAACACACCACTCATTCTACGTTTGAATAGTGCGTTGTAAGAACTGATTTTTAAAAAACATAGATTTCGATTACAGAACTTCAAAATATCAATGCTTAATTCTACACGAGGGTTGTGCTTAAATCTAAAAATAAAATAAATGATTATAAATGTATGTACATTTTATTATATCAAATTGAAGTTCAGTGAAGTGTTTTATGAGTTAATACAGTTTCTCTGAACTCATGCCTACATTTACATATCGTAGCAATATATATTCAATAAAATTACAAATTGTAACAAGACAATATTTGAAAACTTTTCGATTGGTAAATAACAAATTACGCGAACGGGAAAGACTTAAAAAAATGTTTGAGGAAAATTTATCGCGTAATTAAATACATAGCATTGTTTTATTCTTTTAATCTCGTTTATGTATTTGACCTATAAAACTTGGGTCAACTTGAGTGTTATCCCGATTTTTCGAAATACAAAACAGTACGTATGAATAATTTTATTTAGTAGTCTCTATTCAGTAAAAATAGAGCCATTAACCTATTTTAAATCGGACTTTCGAATGAATTGATGACGCAAGTGAGTACTCCGTTGGCACCCTGGCAGTCTCTTAGCATTGGTTAATATTATGATATCTAAAACACTTCTATATATATATACATACATATTTAGTTCTTTATAAATCATGTTAGTTAAATTAAATTCTCTCGTAAACATGTATACGTATATATATTAAATTTCTTTATAAATTCTCTCGTAACCTCGAATGAATCGTGATCTCTTACTGAAATAGGTATAGGTATTATAAGAAACTATGTAAAAGACAAAAATATATTGTTGTTTCTAGAAATCAAGTAAAGTTCAGGTCTTCAAGTATACATAAGTAATGTATCTAACATGTAGTCTAAGGTAATATATCTTTAGTCAGTAATTTAATTTGGAGACTGAATAAATTTGAATTGTTATAAATTTAAATACAAAGTATAGCTTTATTGTCAACCGTAACATAACATACATTAATACTATATACTATATTATATATACCCTTTGTGAGTATTTAAAATTATGAAAGGGGTAGGTATTCTATGTCGTATATTGTCGCCAATTACCTTTAGACAATAATAAAATGTGTTGAGATACTTGTTCTGCTGTATCTGGGTTTGTAAAGGCATGTCGAGTTATTTGAATGAGTGATTTGTTTTTCTGGCTTTATGGGACTTGGTGTAAAAGTTTCCTTGTAAGCAAGACATTTTCTTTTTTTAACAAAAGCGTTTCTTATTACACTTTATACCAAATGTGAAGAATGTTATTAGTTTTGTATTGCAAATTTGCAACTAAAGGAAATAACATTTTTTTAAACAAGTTAAACTAACTAAATAGCCATTATTGAAGGCTCCGGTTAAATAATAATTTTTAAATATAGAAAATGATTTATTTTCTTAGTGTGTGGGTGGTAATGGTAATGTCCGTCTTTGTTTACGATTTCCATAATACGTGCTATTATCCATACATGTATTTATATTGTTATTTTGGCATCAGACCAATATATATGACGTTGTCTTACTTACTTAAGGCCTATAACTTGACTACATTTAATTTTTATGGTGTATTAACTGACACCAATTTTAGCGTATTATTAATTTATTTGGTGGCATTTATTAATTGAATCCGAGTAAAATTTTTGTGTTATTTAGTTTTCAACAAAAAAAAGGAGATGATAGCCTTGAAAAACATTGTTGGAAATACAGAAGGAAAAAAATCACGAGGTCGGTCACCGACACGATGGTCTGACCAGCTGAAAGGAGCTACATCCCTACCCAAGATCGGCGAGGTGGTGAGGGCTGCTTCCGACCGGAATCGATGGAGGAGGATTGTTCGTTTGACGAGTTCCAGTGACCACGATCCTCAGTAATGAGGGACCGACTACAGAGATAGTTTTCAACAGAGCCTGAGCTCTGGTTGATCCTAGACCTCGTGTGTATTTGTTTCTCATGTTTCATTATAAAATATTTATACTACTCGTATGTATTAACATAAGACCTATTGTGTTTCTTAAAAAACGTTATTTTGTCTAATTTCGAAATGCTAATACGACTCCAAAGAAATGTATTTATTGATAATTTATAACGCAACGGAGGTAGAACTTTACACCGCTTTTGATGCACAGACAATCTTCACGGATACCATTTTAACAAAATTATAACAAGGATTTTCCGAATTTTGGTCGAAGGACACATAGAATAGGGCCTCAGGTGTCATGTAAATACGTACGAGTCGACCGTTAAGTTTTATTACCAACTAGATGTCCTGCGACCTCGCGCGCGCATATTATGACCTATGTCATGATGCATGCGTATGATGTATCTTCTCGTAGCTGAAAGAATTTTTAAAATCCGTCTAGATGTTTCGGGCGTATTCGATGCAAACAAATAATCAAATATGAATGTTCTTTATAATATTAGTATAGAAAACTTTTTGATTTTGACATTCAATACATACAAAAGTGTCAAAAAAAGGTGTCGTGTAACGCTTTTTTTTATTAAATCGAGGTATTTTTAAGAATCATTATAAATTATTAACCTTTTTACAATTTTTTTCTCTATATAAATCTCAAAGTTGTCATTCTGCGTTATGTTTGTAAACAGTTTTTTCTACATATATTAAATCTGATATAAGCGACATATACTTTGATCCTTATATCACGGAAAACTAGTAGACAAATACTTTTTAAATTGTATAATAAAAAATAGTAAAATAAAGACTACTAAACAAGACCATGAAAATAAGACTAAATAATAGAATCATTCAAAGGTTGGTATTTAGGTTCCTAAGCGATCTCTCTAAATAGCCATGGTAGGTAAATGAAATTTGTGCCTACAGAATCGTTACAGAGAAAGTGTATAATACAATATACTTACTCTATTTCTGCTAATTGCCTTCACGTAATTTTAGATGCACTAATTACTTAATTAGTGCATTTAAAATGTAGATAAATGTCTTATAATATAGGCATGACTCCCCCTTTTTAATGATTTGATCATCAAGAAACACTAATTGGTGTATGAACGTAGTTAGTAAATGTTTGTGTACCGTATTTTTATTTTGGATAGAGATGGTTAAAGGACTTTAAATATTTAATATTATAAATATTTTTATGTTCGAGTGTGAGTTATATATTTATTATGAAATGTTTTTATTTCGATTTGGTATATCTTAGAAGCATTTATGTCCACGCTTCGATGAGAAACAACATTAAATTAGGTATATTTATTGTTGGCAAATAATAATCGGATTTATTGCCCTAAAATGAGTTCCGAAGTTGTGTGATGTAATGCGACATGACATTGGGATGAAGCCGGCCTTTATAGCGTGGAGAGACGATTCATGCGACTCGTTTCTGAACCGGATAGGATGGCTGAGGTGCCCACGCCCTGCGTCGCGGTCGACGCCGCGCCGCCAGCCAGTCTACGTCAACATAACGCGATTGTTACTGGAGCTACGCTCGCTTACTCACCCTGGCTTGTTTTGGCATTTAATCTCAAACGTTGTGGGTGTATCTTGTATCTACCCCAGATGATACCCGCGTGGGTGTTAACTAACGACGCTCACGAGATTTCTTTCATGTCAAGTTATTTTAATTTACTGCGCTACGGAGTTTTAATGGCGAACTACTTTCTATAAACACAAGTTTATTTGACACATATTACATGCTATTTTAGTTAATTAAGCCTTCTTTAAGAAAACAAAGTGGATTCGACGCACTAATCGATTAACTGTAGTTTGTATTAAATAAATGTTAAGAGCTATTAACTTTTTTTACGCAGATTGAGTCCAAATCAGAACTTTACGAGAGTCTTACTGTCATAATAGACTTTCAGGAAAATTTGTTATAGAAAAAAATAAAATAGTAGAGATGATTGTACTTTTATGAGAGAGATAATTTACATATAGACAAAACAAAGAGATGGTGCTTTGAAATCAATATAAGTGTCAAATTCGAAGTTGAAGTAAACACGACTTTAAAGACGTGAAAAACAATAGTCAACTTAAAGGCTGTTCATATATTCATGAAAATTAAAGTGTAGTTGGCAGTTAATATTAAATTTTATTTCATTATTTTTAAGGTTATATAAAAATTTGATGCTAATTTTATTTCCTTCGATGAAATAAATAATTTCTGTTTCTGTATCCGGCAGAATGTTTATAGCTATTTAAAATTGCTAATCTGGTTTTAATGGACGTTTATACAACTAACCGTATGTAACAGCCGGTTGCACAAACGTCCATTAAAAATTTTATTAGTTTTAAGCGACATTACCCATACAAAATTGACATTCATTAGAGCTTTAAGGCATCCTTAAACCTTAATGGACGTTTGTGCAACTGACCGTATGTCTCATATGACATTCATTGATTTTTTGAGAATTTCAACGGAATTAGGGATAATATTTTTAAGCAAAAAATGGCAAATTTAAAGAATATGCAAATAAAAATGAATTTCACCATAACTCTAGAAAGATAGTGCCAAAGTTTCTTTTCTATTTCATTATGCATATCTGGTTTAACTTCACTTTATAAGATGCTGACAAGTTTTAACGAATCTACGCAACCATTTTAATTGGTAAATGGAGACGCCCTTCTGGTGAGTGGTAATTTGATAGAGAAGCGATGATTGCCATTATTTGGTACCAATTATCTAAACCAACTTGCTGTAAGTTGATATCATGTTTTAATTTTTTACGTTGAATATCCGTTGGTTGGTCATGAATACTACAAAAACTATTCTAAACTATTCTCTGAAACTATTGGATCGATTGTAAAAAAATATTTTTTCCAGTTTATTATAAGATTTTATTTAGTACTAGCTGTTTTCTCGTGACTTCAGCCTCCTAAACTAATAGCCTATGTCATTCGCATTTGTAGTTTCGAGTGGGTCAAAGAATTTTTAAAAAATCAGGCTTGTAGTTACATATTTAAGGCAATCAAACAAACAAAAGTCTTTATAGAAATAGTATCGATGAGAAACTAGATATAAGAAGTTGGAATGTTGTGTCATTTTTACGTGATAAGTGACATAATCATTTATATTCTGATTAAGTAAACAAAGCTTTGCGTAGGTATTTTACACAGCGCTAATGTTAGTCATTGTCTGCGTCTGGGTGTGGTGGTACCTTCGATGACTCAGATACAGATACGGGCTCTTACACATCTTGGAATCTGAGCAACGTATGTGATGTTATCTAATATTTATTGTTTTGTTAAATATACTACGAACACATACTCGTAATAACCGTAAATTAGCTATACGAAGTAACCTAATTTCTTTTTCTACGCGATCTAAGTAAGTTTGTTATGGAAATAAGATGCGGGGTTGATACACAGCATATGATTCTCTTTTGTAAAATATTCCACACGAGGCGTTGCTTCATGCATCCTCGTTAATTCAACAACCTTTTACTTTGATGAAGTTTCTTTTAAAGGCTCTCTTTTGTTAGTCCATTTAAATACAAATCGGATCATAAAAAAAGTTAGTATAGGTATAATCATAGATTTGGTATAACAGTTTTAATATGTTAATATTTGGCTGTCATTTACGTTATTTCTTGTTGTAATAATACGTGTATTTAATAATAATGTTAATTTACAAACTGCGCTGTGATATATAGACTAGATAGAAAAAGTTTTAAACACATAATTTACAATGGCATAATGTTCTTATTCCTAATACACTCTGGCACAACAGTTTTTGAAAAATAATACTTTGATATAATTGTTGTTTCAGTTACAGTATATGTTTCGGATTTTAACTTTCAACATTTTCCTAGATATGAAATTACCGATCCATCAATTAGGTTAAGTTAGAATAGAATTAAATAGATAAAACAAATATTGAGCAGAGCAATCATAGTGAGTTAATTTTATTATGACAGAGAAATTATTCTTTAAAAAATATTGATAAGCATATGTATAATGATACTTAAGTACCTATGCCGTGTTATGTCTTAGTATATTATGCAATCGGATAGGGAACCATATTTTTGAGTAGACGTCTCATAACAGTAAGGTCCTGTGGGTGATGTAAATCAGGATCGTGGCAACAAACAAACAAATAAACTTCTTTACTCTGTAATAGCAGTGTTGATTTGTTAGAATGGCTATTTTGTCCGACTCTACTGCTTCGTCCCACACAATCGCAAAATCTATAACTAAGAAGAGTTGTGTTTACACTTCATAATATTACAAATATTATACTTAGAATATTAGCTTAATAACAGGGACTCAATTACTTTTCTTTACGTTATATTGTCAAGACAATATCTGACGTTTCATAAATGCTATATAAATTCTTATATTTCATAAAATTGTTACTACCTATCATAATTTTCTAGCGGTTTTATAGCCCATGTCAGCCGTGTATGATGTAGCTTCCTGTAAGTGAATTTTTGAAATCGGCCCAGTAATTTTGGAGCCTATTCGCTGTAAACTATCAAATCTTTATATTATTAGTGGACTAGAATTTTCAAGATCACGTACTTTGACTTAGAGCATAGACATCCTTTGTTTTTTTTTTGTAACGACATCGCAGTTTAATGTTTATTAATATTATACTGTGTTTTATTACCTGGAGATTGTGATAAAACCAAAGAGAACCAACAACGGAAATGGAGAACCAGAGGAATAGTGTGAAGACGGAAACGTGGCTGAGGTGCAGCGCATTGAGCAGCGTGGACAGTACCACGGCTAGTGCGTGACACAACACTATTGGCAGCGCGCACCGATCAATTATGTCCCATGGCACCTCCTGTGAAAAATAAATATTGTGTAAATGAAAATATTTATGAAGAAAATATGTATGTAAGTAAGTAGATAAAGGTAGTAGAGTACCTAATTTTGAAAATACTGCAAGTATGAAATATGAAAATTAAATTTCATTTCACAACACGATAAATCAAAAAATACCTAATAATAATATTAACTAATTTGAAGAAAAAAAAAGCATTATCATATTCACATTGTTAGGCACAGACTGACGATATAATCAATGAAATAGCAAGAATGGGTATTTCAGGACACAAAAAATATTTGGCCTATAAAAATAGTAAACGTAATATTGGTTTAAAGTTCTTTTATACCCTAACAACGAGTCTATCGTAGAATCAATTGCTGCCATTCCCATGTTGTTTTCCTCTCTGCGCCCCATGTTATCAGATTACCTGAAGACCTCACAGCAATATTCTTTATATCAGGGCAATGTGATAAATAAGGAAATTCTAACCATATTATGTATTTTGCCTTAATTTAACACTTGGTCTATAAGTTATGCACCATAACAAATATCAGATGGATGTCTGTTTTTTTAATTTCATTACTGCATTATTAGAAATTTGTTCAAAATTTCAATACTATAAAACTGAATGTTTAATTTACAAATTTGGTTAATATTAAGGGTTACCGCCATAAGACGTCAAATATTAATGATCGACAACTAAATATATAAGTAACATAATCTATTTTTTTTAATTCTATATATTTTGTCAATAAATTGTCAATAAATTTCAAACAATTAATATTGTTGATATTTTTTATTCACATAGCTAATAATATTTAAATCATAATATTAATATTGAAATGCAAACTTGTGATAATATATTTGATATAAAAAGGATGTAAACTATAACAATAAAACATTTTTAGCTTCATAAGCAATTGATTTCTATTGTGATTTCATAAAAGATGGCGCGGAACACGCACTTTCGTTTCTTGCCTGTGGCGAATTATTTCAATATCAATGAATAACAACTTATCGCTTATTTTTATGGTAAAATATTTTAAAAATAATCTTTGAACTTTTGAAAGCTTAGGAGATATAAATATATTTATTTTTGTGAAATACCTTTGATGCAAGGGGATATTTTAGATACAATAGGTATGACGACTGGGTAAAAAAAGTGCAACTCTATTAAGTCCATCAGTCAGATAATAGAAAAATTTTAAACACGTATTTTTTTTTACTTCAATTTAACAAGAAATAGCTTAGATAACAGGCATTAAAGTTAAAGAGTGGGGGCTCGCTACGTCACAGTTTAGTAGAAAACGTACAATAACGTGACGTCATGCAAAATTTCAACTCCACGTAACGCCGTAATTTTATGATTACGAAAAAAATACGTGTTTAATATTTTTTTAATACTCTACCTGACGGACAAACAAACAAAACTTAGTCGTCATCCCTATTAGGTACACGGAAGTAAAGTTTATATATTACGAAAACTATAATTAATTTTCTACACTTATTATAATTGACAACTTTATGACTTTCTTTATTTTTAATGGATTATCAATGTGATTCTAATTTACGCTGAAAAACAATTTTAATTATGATTAATTTAAAAGATTGAAGAACAGAAATATAGCATTGTTTATGTTAACTCAAATTTACTTATGAAATTGCCAATGACCTTTCTTACCTCTTCGTCAGATATTTTATTCCACTCGTGATGTTGCCGTAAGCGCGACTACACATCCCTATAGATTTTCTATCGACTTAAAAACGTTTATACATAACAACGAAAACCCGACTTTCATACGTCAATGACGTTGAGCAATGTCCTTTATGTATGATCCTAGGACATTTCAAATTGTTTTTTAGTTTGGAGTACAGTTAACCCAGATTACATTTTTTTGAGGACATCTCTATTATCTTAAGGCTCTATAAATAAGATAAAGCAGTCATATTGAATAATACACTATTAGTCGCAGAAATGCTGTTGCTTCCTACAAAGAACTTTAATCTCCATTGTATCACGTAGTTTTTTCTTGGTTCAGTTTTAAACGTTTACATTTGCAGTGAGAATTATTTGGCCATAAATATGTGTATCTTATCCTGCAGCTGACGGTACCTACACATAACGTGTTTAACGCTCGCTCACGATTAATGAGCTTTGAAACTCCCTCTCTAGACTGTATAGTATGTACTAATAACATTATGATGGTGAATTTTTTAGTACCATAATAGTATTAAAAGTCATATATAAACTAAATTATTAATATTAAAGAAAAGATTGATAATTACGTGTTTGATTAGCATAAAATGTATATTTTGAAATATATAGATACTTGATAAAATCAATTATATCGGGAATCACACTGGCCTGCACTAATCTTTCGTTAACCGAGTGACAGTTCGTTCAATGGAATCTTAGCGATTGTTTTTAAAAATAAATACAATAATGTAACGTCATAAATACAAGTAATAAGTGACGACTTCAAAGATATTTGCAAATCATTTTTTCTTTGGATAACTTGCCTAAACATCGATGGAATAATCACAATAGTGGCTTAAGCTATTTAGTCTAAGTTGGCAACTATAAATTATCTAATCGTCGTCAAATATTGCAAATGTAAACTAATCAAGTCGACTTACTCTATGAAGTGTCTGAAGAAAATTTTCAGTGAAAGTTGCATTTTCATATTTTTTACTAATACCGGAAATCCTGAGATTTGTCAGTCATAATCCGGAAATCCTCGTGACTGGAATGCAACTGGGGTAGTGATTCGCGAGGATTATATTCCGGGTTGACTCAAATATTAATTGCAATATTGTGTAGGGAGGACAGTTAATAAGATTAAGACTAACCTGAGACTGAGACTGTGGATTCTTAATGAGGGAACCCCGCCGCGCCGAGGGTCGCCTGTGCATGGAGGGCGCGGTAATAGAGGCACGCCGCGTCACGTCGCCCGCCGCCATAGTTTAATAACTCACTCCACAACACTGTATATAGTAACACAAGTTTTCCTTTTAGAAAACACCACTTTTATTTAACTAAAATATATAAATACATGACATTTCAATAGAAATAATTTTAGGTAAGACAGACAACTTTAAACGGCGAACTTCGTACCTACCGCATTTCAACATTTTTACATTTGTTCAGCAATATATTTCGATAGCCTATATTACTTTTGCGTTGCTCATATTGTAGCTTTAGATTGGTGATAGTTTTTTTTTTAATAAGTACAGTAGCTACTGAGTTTGTGCATAACAAACAAACAAGAAATCTTCAACAAGACTTACTAATATCATAAAGAGCAAAGAATCATTATTGACTGATTTGAAAAAAATATTTTGCCATTAAAATCCTATATTATTACTGATGAACATAGAATATATTCAAAACGTCAGTGAGCAGCATTAAAGTGTCAATCTATGTTTTCATTTTTCATACTTTATAGTCAGCTATTTTTAGACTACGAGTAGGTAAGAGTTACAGGTACAATAATTCAATTGATATCGGCGATCTCTGTCAATCAAGTCAAGTCTAGTCAATTTTTTTATATTTAACAATAAAATTTTCGAGCGTACTGTTGTAAGTAATACAATAAAGTCGAAGGGGTCACGTATAGGTTTGATCGGTCCCTGGGCTGGCTGCTGCGTCATAAATAGAAAGTGCAACCGATTTAAATGTCGCGAATCGTTTTCAACGGCGGCCGGGACGTTTATTTTTAGGTTTCGAATGGTCACTTCGTAACGGAACAGTAGATCACTTCAAATCGCATAATTATTTATCGCTCATAATATTATGAATTGCTCATAATTCTATTATATTTTATGAGTGGTTATAATATTTCATGACTTAAGTTTTAAGTCATATAATATATCTAAATTTATTATCTAAATGAACATACTGATCATACTGTATGCACTATGCCATGACCTGAAATAAACTCGTGCCAAAATTATGATTTTTGATAGACATCGCCGCGGTTTTCGATTTAATGTACTCGACCGTGGTATTTATGTAGCGTTTGGCTATTCTAAGCTTAGAGTAAACTGAGCAATATTTGTTATAAAGAACTATGGTTTTTTTTAAGATTTCGATAAAATAATAGTTTCAGCTGCTTAATTTGTATTTGGTGCCATTGGTAGGTAGTAGTAAGCATAACATAATGCTTGGTTAACACAATTTAAAAAATTGTAATTAATTACTCGAACTTGAAAATTGCTTTTCATATTTTGTTATAATTTTTTGTTCTTATTTAATGACCGCTTAAGGAATTAAGTTTAAATTAGAATAAGTCTTGCTTGCTATTTTATTAACATTATTAATATGAACTTGAATTGAAGCTTTGCAAGATGAAAATATTGTAAGTAATATTATTTTCCATCCATCCATCCATCTCATAATATGTCCACTAGGAACAATACAGAGTATTTATCTTACATCGACAACTGTTCTTTTTTTACTCCGCAAACAAACCTTTTTGTCTCGTGATTATAAAAAATTAGCGCCAAGCTTTTGTATAAGAATGTATATGGCTATACTTTACTTCTGTTTAAAGCAGTAGCTAAATTAAATGCATGTATTTAAATCTTATTTCTTGACTTATTTTTAAATATTTTCAGCGAACCATTTCATTTGAAATGAAATGAAAATATCTTTATTCAAGTAAGCTTAGTTCAAGCACTTTGGAATCGACCAAAAATTTTTTTCCCCTACCATATGATACTTATATTATGAAAGTTGATACAACATCTTGAGTGGCGCACCGTATTTGGTTAGAAATTAAGTAATTTCATTATTAACATATATTTGATCAATTTAGCATACACAACGCTACATCGATATTTATCTCAAATAAATATGCTTCAAAAATTCATCATTTCCACGTACTCCGAAATAGTGTTCCCAATCCGGGCTGAAATTGGTAAAAAATTTCAGCAGTTTTCTTTAAGATAAATACAATTTTATTATTATCTTTCCAATATAAACTAACAAATCTAACAAAAAGATTAGGCTACCATCTTAGGCTCTCCGCCGTATTAGCTTTTATCTTAGCTAACCATGTTTTGTCATATAAGCTAAAATCATGTGCCAAATTTTAACTTACTCGATCGAAAATAAATACCTTAGAATTTCGTACCTACGTAAGATTTGGCGAATGTACGTACATACATCACGAGTAACAAAAAAGCTCGTATAATTATAGACTACTAAACTTGAAACATAAATATAAACATATAAATAACTTTTATGCACTCATTTGTTTTTTAGGAATATCTATATCGGGCTCTATAGATGTGAGCTAAATTTTGTAACTTTATACATCTATGTATGTCAGAATGTTTATCCAGAAATTGGACATCGGATCAAAATTACTCTTTTGTTCTAATTAATTAAGCTTTGATCTTAAGGAATACCACAAAATTCATCAAAATCGTTTTTAGGATTTTGAAGACATAATCTGTCGAATTACTTTTATTTGACAGCCAGCTTAAAAAAGGAAACATTAAATACTTTTTCTAAAAGAACTCGATTTCAAAAAAGTTTCATAAAAGTGAAAAATAATTCAAGTCACTGAAAAATAACACCGGCGTTCAATATTAATAGCCTTTACAAAACCAGCAGTACTTTCTTCAATTATTTTTCATTCCTGTTGATCTATTTTGAAGTCTAAAGTGTTCCGAGTAAATATTTTGACTGTATGAAGACAGCATCATTAAGTACTATTTATATTGTTATAATATATAAATTGAAATTATGATAACAGTTTTTTATTTTATAAAAAACATTAAAGTAGGCACGGTACATAGGTATTTTGCAGGATGTTAGTGAGCTATTAAATGAGTTTTACTGCCCTGTATTAAATTCAATCACGTCAAATGATACGATATCTAAAAAATTATTGATACTAAATCTGATGTCTATTTATAAACTTGTGAAGACATTTTTCTAGAAACTGTAGGAAGACTGATGTTAGAAACTAGCTGGCAGTTGGCATAGTGTACATATTTAAGAAGTTTTTATGACATGTTCCTTTTATATAGTTTTTTGACTTTTAGTATATTCTTTGATTTTGTCATCAGTAGCTTAAAATTATTGTTCTGTAACCGACTTATAAACTTATAAACTTGTGTAGTAATATTATATTATTTAATTCATTTTATTTAGCATTTCATTATAAAGTCCTCGCTCTAGTAGTTATCATTTTGGTCCTTCGTTAGTTAAAATTATTTAGCCAGCATAATTCATATCATTTCATCCTATTTTTTCGTAGTTAATATTCATACTTCATATTTGTTAATTTGTTCATTTCACGTCAATCATGCAGACTTGTAGTAAAAGTAAGTCGGTTGCAGATATTTCAGCGTTCGGAGTCGATCGGATGCAGCACAATGATGGCTCCACGCATCCACGAACTGACGATGTCAATTCGCAACCAACTCCTAGCGCTGATAATATCGATGTTGCAATACAACCATCGAGCGCGAGCCTGCAAGCAGGTCTCACACAGCGCCCCGAATCTTTTGATGGTAGTGTCGCAAAATCAAAAGATTATTCTGTTTGCAGTAGTTCTAAGGGTGAACGTTCACAGTCATCCCACTCATCAGCTACCGTGCGCGCGAAGAAACTAGCAGCCGAAGCGGAGCATCTTCGTCGTCGCGCACAACTGGCTACGGAGCAGGCGGAGCGTGAGCGTGAGCTCACCCGTCTACAACTCGAAGCTGAGCAAGCAGGACTGCAGGCTCAACTCGCCTCTCTGGATGCTAAAGATAAGTCATCTTATTCTCGAGGTTCTTCTCGAACCTCCCGTACATCAGCTAGACGTACACAGTCTTGGGTCAGATCACACCATGACACATTCTTCGCAGGCGCAAACTTACCATCCGGTGTGGCACATTTAGCCCCGGACTGGCAATCGGAAGCCAACACTCATCATACTGTTCAACAGTCGATGCTTCCAACGGTTTCGATGCCGAAACCACCATTGGAAAAGATCATCGAAGTGTCGCCACCGCTGACCGTCACCCAGCACAAGCCGCTGGGCACCCTACCACGGCCGGCTTTCTCAGCGATGCCCATTCCGACAGTAAACGAGAACTTCTCTATGCCGATCCAACCCACAACGGATGCCGTACTACCACCGAATAACAATAACGTCGACTCAGTGTCACAGCTCACAAAAGCCATCATGGATGCTTCCGTACGGCCCAAGAGGCCCGAGCTAGTTGTATTCTCAGGTGATATCAGTCAATGGATGACCTTTAAGTCTAGTTATGATAAAACGAAAAACTTTTTTTCCCCAGCTGAGAATTTGGTACGTTTGGGCAACGCTATTCGCGGCCCAGCATACCAAGCGGTGGCGTCGCTCTTATGGGACTCAAGCGATCCAGATGACGTCATCCGTACATTGGAACAGAGCTTCGCTCGGCCGGAGATTTTGGTGGCACGAGAGATCGGAGCACTCCGAAATATAAAGATAAGTAGCGCAGAGCATTTAAATATGTTAGCTAATAAATTACGCAACTTAGTGTCAACCATTAAGTATCTGAAACAATACGAACATCTTTACTCGCCAGAACTCTTTCGTATCATTTTACTTAAATTAAGTGAACATACCCGTAGTCGATTTGCCGACTACGCGGCTACGCAGACACTTCACGAGACACCACGATTGTTGATGTTATCAAATTTTTTATTAGAGGAAGCGGACCGACAATTAAAATATAATTTTGTACCCGAGTCAGTAATCGCTAACCCTTCAAATAAGTTATCCTAGACCGATAATAAAGGAAACCGTACACGCCACGGTTTCAAAGAGTGATGACATACAGTGTATCTATTGTAAGCAAGGTTCACACTCCATCGTAAAGTGCAAAGCATTTCAACTTCTTACCATTGACAATCGTTGGCAGTGGATTCGGCAATTTAAAATTTGCTATAGATGCCTAAAGTCAAATCCACATCGATGGAATTTCTGTCGAGCAAAACCTTGTGGTAACAGTGGCTGCACGCGGCGTCATCACTCTCTTCTCCATGGCGTAGGAGAAACTCCTTCGCAACTTGACAGAAATACTCAAGAAGGTTCTATATCAAGACAAAAAGTGGCCATAACGAATTTAGATTCCTCACATGTCACCACAGATCAGCCTAATGTGCAAGTGGCAAATGTTTCAGATATTCCCTTCAATACTACAGAACTGCTACGACCGAGAGCTCTTTCACGAGGTATCCTGAAAGTGCTACCTGTGGTGATAGAGGGACCCAAAGGTCAATTGACTACGACTGCCCTCCTTGACGAAGGTAGTACTGCCACACTTATTGATGGTGACGTGGCCGCGCATATTGGAGCTAGCACGTCAGCGTGCCCAAGCCGCCTACGCATAGAAGGTGTCGGCAACATGTACAAAGAGGTAAACGCTAGTTACGTCAACTTTTTTATAAGGGGACGAAACCAATCAAGACGTTATTTTATAGAAAACGCTCGGGCTATTACGCCGCTTGGATTACGATCACAAAGTATAGGCAAAATTTGCTTTAATGAGTTCGAGCACCTCGCTGATCTTTCAGAAGAGTTGTCAAATAATGACGTGAGTCCGACTGTACTCATTGGTGCTTCAAATTGGGATTTATCATTGAGTCGAGACATCCGAGTAGGCAAAAAGAACGAACCCGTCGCCTCACGCACCTTATTGGGTTGGGTGTTACACGGTGCAATTTCGACGTCATCCAAACCTATCGACTTCGTCAACACCACAAACGACTACTCGAACAGCGACGACGAATACGAACCTCAAAAAAATTCCACTGAAGAGTTTATGCAACGCCAATACGACGAATTGGAATATTTAATTAAACGACAGTACGAGATTGATTCTTTAGGCATTAGCAAGAAATTACCGAAAGAAAATGTCGAAGATCAACGCGCACTCGACATCATTAGAACATCAACTCGAAGACTTGATACTGGTCGATTTGAAGTAAGGTTACCATGGCGTAATAACATACCTAAACCCCTGCCGGACTCATACTTTTTAGCACTATCGCGATTCATGTCTCTTGAGAGACAGTTGTTAAAAGATTCAGCCTTTAAAACTGGTTATGAAACCTTCATTACTGGCATAATTGAGAAGGGTTACGCCGAAGAATGTGAGGCAGATACCTACCACGAATTTTATTCTGGTGACTCCATTAGATGGTACTTGCCAACATTTGGTGTGATGCATCCACAAAAACGTAAGCTTCGGGTGGTACATGACGCGGCAGCAAAGACTAGAGGTGTATGTCTCAATAGTTTATTATTAAAAGGGCCAGATTTGCTACAACCATTGCTAGATATTCTTTTCCGTTTCCGAGAGGGTGCTGTTGCCCTGAACGCGGATATAAAGGAGATGTTTCCCCAAATTAAAATTGCAACAGTGGATAGGGATGCACAACGTTTCCTGTGGCGGAACAAAGACGGGAAACTAACAGAGTATCGCATGTCGTCGATGATGTTTGGCGCAATTTCTAGTCCCTTTATTGCTCTTGCACTAAAAAACAAGAACGCTGAAGACATGAGCGATAGATACCCAGATGCTAGTCACGCAATTATATACGACCATTACATGGATGACTATCTAGGAAGCCACTCTGATGTTTCACGAGCTTCGAAAATCGCCTCTGACATCGTGGAGGTTCATAAAGCTGGTTGCTTTGAGATGCGTTCCTGGGTTTCTAATCACCCGGAAGCGCTATCCTTAATCCCAGCTGAACTGCGGAGCGACAGTGGTTCGGATGTCAACCTACCCCCTAATGACAACGTAGGTGTTTTAGGAGTCAAATGGAATCCACGTAGTGACCATTTGAGCTTCCGCATAGTTCAACATGATCCTTCAACATCACTGACGAAACGTTACATTCTGTCCAAGGTTATGAAGATATACGATCCTCTAGGTCTATTGATGCCTATTATCATTGAGGGTCGGATAATCCTTCAAAGGCTGTGGAGGGAAGGAGTGAATTGGGATACGCCCATTCCCGAAAAGTTTATACCTGAGTGTGAAAATTGGTTTCACCTGTTAGAAACCACGTCAAATATTAGTATTCCACGATATTACATGAGTCAGCCGACATTTTCTGACGTCCAGCTACACATATTCGCTGATGGTGGAGAGCAGGCGTACGCATGTGTTGCCTACTGGCGCTTCACTTACGTTAATAGAGAGACGTCCTTGGCACTAATAGGTAGTAAGGCGAGAGTCGCACCTTTAAAACCAATCTCAATTCCGAGATTAGAGCTACAAGCGGCTTTAATAGCATCTAGGTTCGCTCAAACAATTTTGAAAGCACACCGCATAAAACCGTCCATAATTGTTTACTGGACTGACTCAACTACGGTCCTTAAGTGGTTAAGAGGTGATGCTAGAGCATTTAAGCCGTTTGTAGCCCATCGTCTTGGTGAAATACTGGAAACCACGAATCCTTCTAATTGGCGGTGGGTTCCTAGTAACTTTAATAACGCCGACGATGCCACAAAACCTAAAGCATTGAAACTGGATTTGTCGCACCGTTGGTTTTCCGGTCCGTCCTTTCTTTTGTCTCCAGATTCGGAGTGGCCTATTGAATCGAGTTGCGATTCTGAAGCCCCTCCAGCGTCCGAAGGTCAATCCGAACTGGTGGGACTACTCTCCGAGGCACCGTTGCCTTCTTTACCTGTTCCTGGTTTTACGCATTTTAGTAAATGGTTACGCTTAGTGAGAGCAACAGCACGATTTATACAGGCAGCGCGTATTTTTAGATCATTTATATCACGATGTATTGTTCAATCTTCTTTTTTGTATACAGATGGCACTACCTCCCCCTCTGGATTGTCGGTTATGGACATCTCCCGCGCCGAGCATCTTCTTCTACATCGTGCGCAAGTCGACAGCTTTCCTGAAGAATATAAGGCCTTACAGTCATCACAGCCAGTTGCCAAAAATAGCAGGATAGCTGCACTTTCCCCAGTATTGGACACCGATGGGTTAATTACACTCGACTCACGTATTAAATTTGCTCCTGGGGTAAGTGAGAGTGTCAAACGTCCGATAGTCCTGGATGGCCGCCATCACATTGTTCGCCTTCTAATACTTCACTACCACTACCAGATGGCTCATTCTTTCAATGAACTTGTTCTGAATGAACTCCGACAAAGATTTTGGATACTCAAAGCACGGGGAACTATACGTAGCATCGCCAACAGCTGTAACGAATGCAAGCGGTACAAAGTCCAGCCTACGGTGCCACAATCCGGGAATCTGCCATCGGTACGTCTCGAACACCACAAGAGACCATTTACCAATGTTGGACTCGACTATTTTGGCCCAGTGGATGTAACTGTGAATCGTAGGCATGAGAAGCGCTATGTAGCCTTATACACCTGTCTCGTTACCAGAGCGATACACCTCGAAGTCGTCGGATCGCTATCATCGAATTCTGCACTCCTGAGCTTAAGACGCTTTATAGCCCGTAGAGGATCCCCATCTGTTATCATTTCGGACAACGGGACCAACTTCGTCGGCGCTAACCGGATACTGAGAGCGTTACACGGCGACAACGTCCACGATTTTGCCACAAACCACAAGATCGAGTGGCGGTTCATTCCCCCTGCGTCGCCCTTCATGGGAGGAGCCTGGGAGCGCCTTGTCCGAACAGTAAAGACCGCATTAAGATACATATTGAAAACAAAGGCTCCCAAAGAAGAAATTTTAACCACCTTGCTAGCCGAAGTCGAGGGAATAGTAAACTCCAGACCCCTGACCTATATATCAGCCTCGCCGCAGGCCCCGGAAGCTTTAACGCCTTTTCACTTTATTCTTGGGTCTTCGTCCACCAACCCATGGACTCATTCACTCGGGGATTCGGATTTGATAGGGCGATGTGACTGGCGGCACACACTTTGCTTGGCGGATCACTTTTGGTCACGATGGCTTCGAGAGTACCTGCCTACACTGACTCCGAGAGGACGACGCAGCAGCTCACTGACGATTTCAGAGGGGGACGTCGTGCTTATCGCGGACTCTTCCCTGCCGAGGGGCTTGTGGCCACTGGGAAGAGTCACTAGAATATTTAGAGGAGCTGACGGAATTGTGCGCGTTGCCGATATATTTACTAAAGGGGGTACCTTGCGCCGCCCAATCCGGAAGCTTATACCTATAAGCGCTGACTGCCAGCCACTTTCCAACGAATGTTAGTGTTCCACTGGGGGCGGGGATGTTAGAAACTAGCTGGCAGTTGGCATAGTGTACATATTTAAGAAGTTTTTATGACATGTTCCTTTTATATAGTTTTTTGACTTTTAGTATATTCTTTGATTTTGTCATCAGTAGCTTAAAATTATTGTTCTGTAACCGACTTATAAACTTATAAACTTGTGTAGTAATATTATATTATTTAATTCATTTTATTTAGCATTTCATTATAAAGTCCTCGCTCTAGTAGTTATCAACTGATTCGTTTAGCATTATTTAAAAGCATAAAGCAATTTTGAACAACAAATGAATTACGTTTGTTTTTTCGTATACATAAAATATGATACCGTTTTCGTACACTGAATGACATTAATTTGAGAGCAAAAAGTTTATACTAAAGTATATTGTCTATACTAATATTATATAGAGATTTTTTTTAATTGTATATTTGTTGGCATTGAATAGACTCCGAAACTACTGAACTGATTTTATAAATTATTCCACCTACGGGAAGCTGCATCATACGCAGGTCGAAGTCGCGGGAAAAGCTAGTTAATTAATTAACAAAGATAAACAGAGAGAAAATTTGAATTAAATCATTGATCTTTGAAATATTTTCTTTCTCGCAATATTATTTTTTAAATACTTCACATTCAGTAGTGTAATAGTTTTTCAAAGTTTGCTGATCAACTAAAGTTTAATCAAAATTCAATTATCATTAAAGGAATATGTAACAACAACACTGGGAATCATAAAATATGATAATCACGTCATGATTTTGGTATAATATTGATTTTCATAGACTATCAATATACTTTGATATATTTATTATTTGATAATATATCTTTTTACAGTGACATTCATTTAAATAATAAAATTGATGTCTTATCGTCTTTGATTACCTACTTTGATTCAACAAAAGATTTGCAATTACACAATACTCATGGTATAAAACTGCAATGAAAACAGTGATAATTGAGCATAGATAACTTGCACTAGAATATAGCTAAGTATTGTTGAAGTAATATTGTGTGACTGATATATTGTAATCACCCGGTACTGAAATTGTAAAAATGATGAAAAATATAACAAAAACTGTATTCCCTTGGAGAAGTGGTAGGTACATAATTTTAAGACTAAAAACACTGAGAGTTAATGAAAAAAAAGAATCCGGCACTTGTTTTAAACTCTAATTTTCACTGACTTGAAAACTTTGATATTCCAGATGCAACTTTCCGACGGTATGAAAGCCGGCTCCAAAACACGTAAATAACGGATTTTGAAACTAAATAAACATACGTATTAAAGGTATGTTCATTAGTTGTACAGTGAACCTACATTAGTGAGGGTTGTGACGTATGCGCGGGCGCGGGCTTCGCGAGTCGTCGGCGATCGCTCACTGCGGTTCCAGCTCCGGCGTCCGGCTCTCGCCAAAATTAACACACGCACTTTATTATTTATTGCCACATTTTCGCCTAGATTGTACAGTCAGATACCTACTCAAAGTGAGACGGGAATGTTTTTTGGCAGAACATCGCACCACTAAAAATTTGTAGTTTTACTAAATGGATTTCGATTAAATATTTATTTATATTCAAAATAATTAAAATTTTTGTTTTACTTTGATTGTACCTACGATTAGCATCTTTTTATAATACCTGTAAATTTTTCTTTTGAAAGCTTCGAGATTGGTAACTTATGTCCAAAAAACTAATTAGTTAAAACATTGTTACTGATGAGGATAAATAAGCTATTGCTTATTTATCCTAATCAGTATATTATCTAAATTTGTTATTTAATAAAAAAGATTTTTCAAACTTTATTAAAATCAAGCTGAACACAAATGACTCTTTTTTTATATATTTTGGAATACAAAAATTTGGCGTAATAATATAATATAACGACCGGTTTAACATAAAAAAAATACGATTAAAGATTTTGCGTTCGCTCAAGTTGACGATAAGTCGAATACCGACTATTAAAGCTATGTCAAATACACATTTCAGTCCAATTGCTTTCGATAAATTGGGATTTTCAGTGTTAACTCAAACATCTTTAGATGACTTTTAGTTTAGCAAAATATTCCATAAAAATTGAAAAATGATATAAAATTTTCTGCAAATTATTAATTCTGGATAAAGATAGACTCAATGAACAACTGATGGCATTCGACAGGTTCAAAAAGTGAAACCTAAAAAATATCATAATCAAAAACTTTTTTTTTTAATGAGAGTAGAAGGTAGTATACAGCTACATAAAATTAAATAAAAGAATATATTTTTACTATCGTTTGTGTGAAGAATAATTCCTTAAATTTCTTCATTACTCCCTGAAAACAATAGTGCTACACCTACTCTATAAATGCGAATGAATACGGGTGTGATTTATCCTTAATATTTGCACTTTCAATTGTATTCGCATTTTAATCTTAGTTTGTTTATCTCATGTGATTAAATTTAGTTAACTTATATTTTTTTTTTCATATTATAGGTACTTTCGCTATTAACTTCTGCAGGAGTAAAATACATATCCAAAAAGTTTATACTCTTGAAAGATCTCGAAATAGTAACAAAAACAGACAGTGAATATACATAAAAAAGTTTTGTATCTGGAGCCAAAATATAATATCATTCAAAGATAATCTCAGCTTTATTCACTTTAGCAACTATCTATTCGGTTAATGAAAGTGTTTCGGGTATAAATATGACAACTTATATCGGAATCTGATTTAACTTAGCAGCCAAACTTATTTAAGCTTATATTTGTTTATGTCCCATACTTGTTAAGCTTAGTAATCTAATATGTTAAAATTTTGTTATATCTATAACTTCACGCCAGAGCCCTCGTGGAGTAGGTAAAGGGGATCGAGTGTCGGACTCTTTCGTCTTCTCGGCTTTAATTACTTTTACTCTTACATTACTTTCCATCAGTACGTACGCAGTAGGCGCGCCCTTTCAATTTCATATTGAGAGGTGTCTTATCCTCCCAAATTCGCGGTATATATCAGTTTTGTTACTATTTCGAACCGACAAAACATGGTTTTGTTAATTTTTACATCGACACTATCTTTCAGGTCAACTCTGTTATCTTGTTCTGCTCTCTTATCCGTCGTTCAAAAATAATTTTATTTTATATGACTATTATTTTAATTTTGAAAACTTTAATTTGTGTGCGTAATAGGTATTTTCATTATTATTTTCAATTCCAAAACAATAACCTATTTAATCCTTCATGATAGAGACTTGTTTTGGATACATTAGCATGTCATGTAATATGAAACATTCTGTTATTTGCATTGTGTATTGATTGCTAGGTATATGCATATGGTAAAATAAAGCATAACTACAAATAAACCGACAATTATTAAATAACTAGTTTTAAATTTTTTGAAAACATTGTCTTTGTAGATACATATTGCATATTCAGAAATTTCAAAATTTTGTAATAAGTATTTACTATTGACGTTCTGTGAATAACATTGTCTTATATGTTATACCTTGGTGTATAACATATAAGACACTAGTGTTGGGCGTGACTGACTTGCTACGTTATTATGACTGAAAAAAATTAAATCAAAATAATCACATATCCGTTCTCATTAAACTACATAGTTAATTTTTATTGATTACTTTTTAATTAATTTAAATTTATTTTACAATAGTTAATCTTTAATTGTTATGTGTTGGTTAAAGGATTAGTAGATTCCTCTAAAGCAACTATCCGCAAAAGCCTTAAGTATCGTTTTGATAATATTATTTCTCTTTTCTATTTACGAAAAAAATAAAAATCAATGAATAATGTTGTGTTCGAAAAACGCTGCTCTTGTATGCTTGTAATGTAGATATTTGTTAATTACAGATGGAGTAGGTACGTACTTTTGTGAAATATATTATATACGTAGTTCTTAGAATGTATATTAATTAAGTGATGTATTTCAATTAACTATTTGAAATACAAGCTTCTTCTCACCACTGAGCCGGTGTTTTTGGAAATTGGATCATGAATGAATTAGTTTAGAGGTGTAACCGCTTGAAAACATTTTAATGTAATGAAATAAAATTAACCTATGTCTCTTGACTAGACTGTAACGTGATCTTTGATGGTTGCTACATACAGAGCCTTTGGGTTAGCGGTTAACTAACGTTTATCCCTTGTGCGGGCAAAGGAGGCCTCACAAGTTGTTGGTCGGAACACTGCACCATGGAGGGTATATGAATAAGACCTAATTCCATCGCTAACTGATTGCAATCGTAATTTTAATGATTATTGCAAGTCAATATATTGCTAATATGAGATTATTTACGCGCAATATAATTCAAACTCTTAGGTAAACAATACAATGTAATGTAGTATACAATAATAGAGAAAAAGTATAATATAAAATATGTTAATTTATAAGTTTATTAATAAACTTTAACGACCTGACTAGTCTTTGGGGTTTTGTTTCTGATTTGTTATAAATGACAAGTACAGATAGTGTGACCCGATACCATATTTGGAGATAAATAAATACCGGATATTTCAAGTGAATATCTAGAGGAAAGGAATGCAGGAACCCCTGTTCCTGCGACCTGTGCAAGCGAACATTTGTATCCTAAGACTAATCATGAATAAGCCATGATTAGTCTTAGGATACAAAATCTTAGCTATGTTATGATATTTAACTTCATTTGACTATTGGGGTGTGACCACCCAGGATAGCAGGACAGCGGCAGCAAAGAAAAGGTAAGATAGAGAAACTATATGTACATACATAATTTGCGCTCTCTGGAAATTTCATTGTAGACGAAGGTGATTATTTGTTATCTTTGTTGCGCGATTAGGTTTCCAGTTCATAGATGATGTGTGTATCTACATAACTTGCTATGAACTAACAATAAAGCTTATATTAAAAAAATATTGGTACAATTAACCCGATTACGGGGATTTAATAAATAATTATTTCATTTACAGTAGGTATTCAGTAAAACAAAAAAAATATTTAACTTGAACGTACGTTACGTGGGTAAGCAGACATTCACTAACGAGAAACAAAAACCTCGTATCGTTTTTAAAATTCGCATGTATTTGGCGGAAATGGCGAAGTATGACTCCCATGGTTAACTCGATTCCAATATCAATTTCCTGACCGCAGTGCATTTCGAAAATTTTACTATGTATATATTTTTTATACTTTATAGGTTTACGCTTGACTACGATCTCACCCGATGGTAAGTGGTGATGAGGCCTTGGGTGGTATAGCGCATTAACCTAGAAAAAACAGCTTATTCACTTTTGATTTGAAGACAATCACATTACTCGTATAATCGTACGGAAATACAGACATAAATACTGTGTTATTTTAATATAACTTTGTCTATTTGGTTATTTTCTCGTTTACTTATTGAATATACCGTGAATTGTTGACGTTATATTTCAGAGAATCGTATAAAATAATTTAATGATGTTGAATATTTACTTTGATGTAGGTTTGTAAGATATAATTGGACAAATACACGAGCCTGTTTTTGCTGCCATATAGGTATTCATTGTTTCGGAATGTTCCTATTTACTTACTGAGAGAATCAATGATAAATTTCTTGTGACAATTTTCTCATTTGGCCAAAGCTAGATGAATATGAACTACTTTTTTGGTTGAATATAACCTTAAAACGTTCGTAGATGGTCATATTAACTTAATTTTGCGATTAAAAGTAGGTGTAAACATTTGAACTGGTGTTCAAGGAGAGGTTTAGTATTTTTATCTTAAGTCGGTTAAATTAAAGTGTGAGTAGCCCTTTATGTAAAAATGTAGAAGCAAACGAAAATGGAAAAATATACGATAATGCTATTGTAATGTCCTTTTTTCGTGAATTAATAACTATCAATTAACGAAAAATGCGATAAGTAAACAACCAATCTCGTTGTAGACACATAAGTATAATAATATTATATTGCAATCTTACAAATATTATATACACAAAAGTTTGTGAGGATCTAGGTAGGTATTTATGTTTATTACTCTTTCACGCAAAAACTATTGTGCGGATTAGGATAAAATTTAGTTTACTGCTAATTTGAAGCCTTAATTAACATAAAGGATTTTTATTCCATGAGGATAGTGTACTGCCAAGTCATCGTATAAGCTGCGCGGACAGAGCCGCTGGTGGAAAGCTAGTGTTATATGTTTATTAATTACCTCTGAAAACAATATCAAATCTTAAAAAAATAGGAAAGAAAACAAACTTTTTGGGGATATTTTAGTATCTAATATAACAAAATGAAATTTATTGGGTATTAGTTTATAAAAATAAATAATTTATATCAATTTAAAAATTCAAGTCTATAAAATAATAAAACCCTAATTCTCACGCTATATGTTTCGCCCCCGCGACATTACCCGCCAGATGAAATGTCACGTC